CCAGACTCCAGTTCCTTGGAAAACAAATTACCAATCTGTTCCCAAATTGCCCTGTGTCTGCATTTCGTCCGGGGTAGGGGCACGCATGCCAGAGTCCTGTGAGTGACGCGCACCGACCAACCCGAGGAACGCTCTGTCAAAAAGTCTCCCCCTTACACAAAGCAATGGGAAAGAATCTGCCCAAACTGGAACAGCCCCAAGGTCTGTGCAGGCACCTCTCTGGTTATTACGTCATCCAAAAGCAGGTCAGCCAATTCCAGCTTCGATGCACGGACTGCCTTGCTCGATTTTCGCTATTTTCCAACGAAACGTCACTCCCTTAAAAAGGTCACAACGCGTGTGGCCGGTCAAAATGCGTGTGACTCAAAGCATGGCTGCGAGCCAAAAGCGAACGAAGGGTTCAACAGAACCCTGGCCAGGTGGGGTGTTGGGCGACCGCCCCACAAGCGCGGATGAGGGGACCTCCTGGTGTTGGGCAACGATGGGGGTATTGAAAAACACCCAAGCAATTGGGCTCTGAAAAGATACCCAAACCTACGCGGTTTGCAAGCTTGATAGCCTGGTTGGTGCGACCAATGCGTGGCCGTCCAAAGCGCGGCGCTGGGTAAAAACCCAATAGCAAAGCAAGCGTGGGCAAAGCGTAAGGAAAAGGAGTAGGCGACTCCTGCCCATAGATGCGGCCTTCACAAAGCAGTGTACCAACAACTGAAACACAGAAACAGCAACACCCACACACTTGCGCCCCCAGCTGAGACATTTTGCAATTCCTGAAAAAGGAAATCAGGCGTACCCTTCGCCCTTCAGTGTCTGCCTGAGCTTCTGCCAGCAGTACCGGCAACGGTGGCGGGTATGCCACGCATGCCGCCGCCATGCTCGAAGGTTTTGCCGCACGAAGTATTGCGGCAATCCTCGTATCTGCTCTAGCAACGGAAAACCCGCTGTTCCAGGGTCTGCAAAGGGATTCCCAGGCAGGCACCAAAGCAGGCTCCTCCTCATTAGATGCGTCCCAATTCCCGCAAGGAGCGTTGTCCGAAGCATGTTGTTCCCAAGCACCCCAACTGCGATTGACATGGTTTGCGCAGCGACATTTTCGTCGAGCAGTTACTGCACCTTGCTTTTTTCAGGCATGATTGCATTTCAGCCGGTTGCGATTGATACCCGGTAGCCCGGCTCCTTCGAGCACCCCCTTGGATGACTGAATTTATCCCCATCTCAGCGCCACCAATTGCAGAGTCAACAATTACTTCTGCACTGTCTGCAAGCGCGTTTGGCTGTCTATCAGGGAGGCGGTTGCTTGGCATTGGAGCAGCCTCCCTCGGCCTTTAGCAGGTATGTTCCATGGCTCCCGCATGTGAGTTTGGCCTGGACCTGGAGAAATCCTGGATGTTCGCCTCATCCTTCGAGCTGCGTGGGGTGCACCAATCCATTCGGGGGGTTCGCGATGACCAAGGCAATTTTCTTAGATCAGCGTTGGCTTTGCTGTATATGCAACAAGTTTCTTCCCCCTGCCGCAGCTTCTTTCTGAAATTCCGGTCAAGCCCTTGGATGCCAGGCTTGATGAGTGTCCCTCGCCGGACCCCCTGACCAGCTTGCGCAAATCCATATCGCCCTTTCTCAGCAGTCACGGGTTCCCGGCACGCCTGCTTGACCATGTTCAGAACGCGCGGGATTCCCCTATTTTTCGGAAAGACAAGGTTGCAGAACTACGTGGCATTGCGGGGGATTGGTTTTGTACCCAGGGCTGGGATGCTGATCAGCCTTACTGTTTGCGCGCGCTCAATGCTTTAGGCCAGGTGATCCGGGACCCTGATGCATCGCTGTTCCCTTGTCTTAGTGCCGCAGTTCCTACAGGCGTCCCCCCTTCTTTAGTCTTCCCTGCGGCGGCTACTGGTTTGGACGAAGCGGATGTGGCCCAATGATTTGCTTAGAGAACGAAACTGAGCCGGATGTTTTGCGGGACCTTGTGCTTGGAGGGATGGCGTTTTGAGGTTGATGCTCTTCAAGGTGCCCAACTGCGCTGGGGCTCACGTGTGGCAGTGGGCAAGCTCGGCATTGTCAAAGCACCCAACCAAAAGCCACACCTGGTCTTGGACAGCTCTGTTTGTAACACGAATTCCTTGTGCCAGGGTCTGTCCGTTTCAGTGCCTTTTGTTTCGGCATTCCCATATCTTTGGATCGGCTGGACATACATTTTTTTCGCGCAGCGCATTCTCTGTGCCGCAGGACCGTCGTCCTCGCACAGTTGCCTGCAAGGACTTGCAGAAAGTGGTCGGCCCATGGTTGCACTGTCTTTATCAGGATGTGGACACGCCTCTTGGGATTTTGTTTAGTGTTGACCCAGGCGCTTTTTGCGACTGCATTGATGATGGCCCCGGTTTGTTCGGACTCCTGAGAGGATGACCATTTCTTTAGGGGCCAAGATACTCGGCTCGACATGTCCATTTACACTTCAAGCGTGATCTATTTCAGCTGCGAGTGACTGTGAAGCCAATCTAGGTGCGCGTTGCGGACCCTGCGACAGCGAAACGGAGGCTCTTGCCTGGAGGTGTTCATTTTGAATGTTTGGCGGGCTTGGGCCTCACTGCCGCCTCAGATGTATCCTTTGCAGCAACCCGATTGCAGATGCTATGGCGTCTGGTTTTGCCCGCCTCCCAGAAAGCGGAGATTTGGTTCAGTGAACTGTTTAAGGTTGAGGCCCTTGCTTTTACTGGAATCACTTTTTCCCCGCTGCCTGCTACGAGGCTTTGGGGCAGATAGCTCTTTTGCTTTGTCTCTCCAGACATTGTTCTGGCTCACGCATGGTGGTCCGCATGTCCACGTGGTGTGACAATACTGGTGCTGAGTCAGCCAGCAACACCTCCAACATCCCGCTTGCAGCCGTTGTGCAACGGCTTGCTTTGCTTTCATGTTGCACCGGCATTCATCTGGATGTTTCACACATCCCTGGAGTGTCTAATGACGATGCTGACTTTTTCAGCCGTTGGGGTGGCATTTCCAACATTTGTTTCCGCTGGCCAGCAGCTTTTCGAGAGCGCGTCTCTCTGCACGATGTGTGGGCCGCTGCCCCTCCTATTTCGGTTGTTCCCGCTGACTACCGCTTGAAGTGGGACCTTCCTCCGCGTTTGCTTTCAGGACCATCAAAGGCCGCGTTTTGAGTGGGGGTTGGCGCGGCGTTCCTTTGACACTGGCAGACAGAAGTGGGGAACGGATGTGAACATGTTGTTGCTGGGCCCTGGGAGAACTGGTTGTGTGTTTACTCACATCTGTTTTCCTTGGCACATGACACATGTGTGTGTGCCATTTTCGACCAGGCGGCTGCATAGCAACTTGCTCCCTGTTTTTCTCCCACCCTCTCCTCCCTGTTTTTAGGACCCACTGGCTTTTACAGTGGAGGCGCTGGAGGGTCGCTGTTGCTTCAAACCTTGTTGGTTTCTTCTCGGGGCACGCTTTGCCTCTATGGACCGTGATGGTCTTGCTCGCGTTCTTCTTCAGCTTTGTGAAGCTGGGCCTTCTTGCAAGCAGCGCATAATTGTCAGAGAAGAGTCTCCGTGGGGGGAACGGATGTGGTCTGCTTTGCTTTGCCTTTGAAAGACCACATACCCACCGCCAGTGTCAAAAGAGAGCTCGTGCTATGCTCGCCCAGGAAACATGTTGTTGCTGGGTCCTGGGAGGACCAGGCGCGTCATGGAATGGGCCTCCGGAGGCTACATTAACTTCTGCAATCGCGGTTACAGTGCAATCCACACGCAGGTGCGCAGCAACGTGGGCTGGGTCACATTTTCAAGTACACCGGCAACAATGGCTTGCTTGGCCTGTAGATAAAATACAGTTGGGGGCAGCGGCTACATCTGGTCACACAATGCGTCGACATCTCACAACTTGCTACAGAACCGCGCATGCTGAGGAAAAAGCTTGCTGGCAGGGTACCTACAAACGCACCCGAAAAATTCTAGCTGGGGAGCAGAAAGTGTCGAGCGTATCCAGGTCCAGAGATCCAGAGATCCAGACAGAAATCCAGAAATCCAGTCTGCGTGACAAACGCATCCACTTACAGTCTGGGTTTGTTTGGGCGACAAGCAGGTTCAAGGCTCAAACACGGGCCAACGATGGCCCGAGGCAGCGCCTTTCTGCGCTCCTAGAACTTTGCAACTCTAGCACGCAGCCTCGCTTTGCTGAGCGCCTTGCGCAGGAAAAATTGCATCAGTCGAATCTTCGGTACTTGAGCGGAGACGGTTGCAACAGCGACAAATTCCAACCATCCATCCCCTTAACACTGCTCCAATCTGTAGTTAGAGCAAGTTAAAAGAGCACAGCTGTACGGACGCACGTGCGTGCGTGTGTACGGAAACATGGACGTGCTGACGGAGGCCGCTTGCGCGCAGACGTGTGCGCGGACATGGGCGTGGACGTCTGGATGCACGCATGTCCGTACGGAAGGAGACGGATGTTCAACGGCCTAAACAGCTTAAACGGTTTAAGCGGTTTAGAAAAGGTTTAAGCGGTTCAAACGCTTTAGATGGTTGAGTTGGAGAGGCTTTTTCCTTTTGCAGTGTCAGGTGTAGTGGGCGTAACAGATGAAGACAGAAGAAGCGGTACCACATATATATATATATAAACAACCTTAAACACATGCATACTGCAAGTTCTTCACATAACCGAACTGTTCGTTGAGAAAACATTTTGCAAGAAAGGGCCAAGAGTGAACTCCCAAGGGTGGCGTGAAGCTTCAGGCCTTTGCGGGCGGCCGTGTCGCTCCGTCCCCCCTTTGCTTTAAACATCGCATTTCAGTTGAGTAGCGTGAACGGACAAAGTTAGAGAAGCCTGTCAAAGTCGAGTTTCGTGCTTGTTCCCCGTGTCGCGCCTGGTGTTTTTGAGGCCGAAAGCGCCAACTGCCGTCCGATATGTTGCAACGCTTGCCGCTTTGGTTTGGCGTAGCCGCCTGGGAGGGAGCTCAGAGTTTCGTGAGCCGGGTCTCGTATGCCGGATCTCGTATTCGCCAGGCTGTCCTTGATGAATCCCGTCATCTTCTCCTCCATCGTGTGGGCTTTGGCCTCGACAGGCGGGGCCGGGCGAATGGCGAAAGCTTTTCGAGCTTGTTTTACAGTTTCGGCCTAGGCTGCACAAGAATAAGCCTTTGTTTGCAGGTCCTTTCAGCGAGAGCAACGCATCAGGATGTCAGCGCCTTTGGAAAAAAACAATTTGGAGCTCAGCGGGCGCGGTGGGCAACAGTGGGCAGCTTGCATCCACTTACGTGGTTGCTGATTGGAGAGTATCATTGATGCTTTTTGGGGAGCGGGTCCGCCTGGAGTATGATCGCTTCGTGCACCGTGGTGCGCCGGGATTTCCTCTCCTCGCGCCACGCGGTTGGCCCGCGCCCAAGTCTTCGATTTGTTGCTGCGCGAACCCCTCGAGCTGCTGGACGGGCGGGCCACGCTTCGCCTCCTAGTTACATAAGGCGCTATCTGGATTTGGTGCTAGTGGAACCTTGTGGGCAGTGGCAAGCCCCGTCAGCCAACTGAAAGATGGAAACTGAGCAAACCTTTTGCGACTTCGCAAAGGGCCTTAGTTTGCGGCCGTCCTAGTTTGCGGCCATCCTCTAGTTTCACCCAGCAAACACGCGACATGCGGCGGAAGCCGGGCCTGCCGTGTTTTCCAAAGCGCCTTATCGAACCTAGAGATGCGCCCCGCAAATCGCTGGCTATTCAACTGCTGTTGGTCCTGGCGACGGAGCCGCTGAGGTAATGTCCGCATTTCGCTCTTGGTGCGTGTCGTTTTTGCTTGGAAATTGCCGCTCAAAGTATGCATGCAGTCATGGAAGCTGCCACGCACGCATGGCAATGGCATTCTGCGCTGCAGTTTTGGTTGAAACTGCCATGTGCGCGCTGCAGTTTCAATCCAAGCTCGCATGCGTGGCAGTTCCAAGCACAACTGCCGCGCGCGCTATAGTTTCAGCAAGCTGCCACGCCTGCGTGGCATTTTCACTTAAATGGCCAGGTGTGCGTAGCCATTTTGACCGTCGAGCGTAGACAAGATGGGTGCTAATGCTGGCAGCTTCAGCCAAAAATTCCGTTGGCCTTCTAAGCGCACGCAGTTCTAATTCGTTTTTACAGTTCGCGTTTGTTTTCAGCAGAAACCAGGCAAACCAGCTCAATCAGTTGAAGAAGCATGGGAGTGCCGAGCAGTGGCCAGTCTGGAGCTGGCTGCTACTTGTCTGTAGCTGGCGCCCAGAGCTGACGGTTGCCAGTCTGCAGCTGGCAGCTTCAACGTTTGTGTCGCCAGCGTCACTTGCGTGGCCCTGTGTGCTGGCGTCGCCCATCCATGATGCCTAAACAAGCAATGAATTCAGCAAATGCGGTCAAAACGGCTTAAACATAATTTCAACGAACTAACTCGGTCCAGCCAAGCTGGTCCCGAAGTTGCGCGCCGTGAGTGCGGCCAAATGCATTGCCGTGAGCGCCACGCTCCTAGCGCGTCGGGCTGCAAAGTTCGTGCGTGTGAGCTACCGTTTGTGCCAGCGTGGGTGAGAGAAAGGAACTGGAGGGCCACTGACGCCTGGATTGGGCTTTCAAAGCGCGAGACGCATCGAAAAGTACGGTTAAAGGCGCACTGCCGGCTTGCGATGGGTGGCCGACGCTGCTTGTTGCTGACACCGCCGTCAGGCACTTGTTTCTTGCGTTTGTGTTGCGTTGTTTGGCTGTTCAGGGTAACCGTCTTAGCACAAATCATCACACACACACACGCGTGCGTCCACAACCGCTCCTCCCATGCCGGCACACACACAACGTGGGGCGGTACCTCGCTTGTGACGCGAGTTTTTTCCCGCTTGTGACTGGAATATCTTGCTTGTGACGGTAACATTTTTGGTTACATAAACCCTTGCAAATTACAGTGTTTTGTGTGTTGGGATATGGGCTGGGTGACCCTAGTTGCTGCTTTGAAGGCGGTAAATCTTGTCGCAAGTGAGTCGCAATTTTTGCATGTATTTTACAGCGCTTTGATGCCCGTGCCGAACACGCAGATCAGCATGGAGTTAGGCAATGCTACTTTTGTGGTAGAGGGAGTGTTTGGGGAGGTTCGTTGTACTCCGCGGACACCCAGGTTGCGTGCTTGCTGTGAAAGAAGACATGCTTAAGGTGCAACTTTTGAGTAGCAACTTAGATTTTTTACAGTCCATTGACCTCTGTACAATCTGTGACATTATGACTCAAGGCCCTTTCTGTCATTTCATTCGCTATGTGCATTTAAAAGGACTTGCGGCGTCACTCCAGGCGTTACACTTTATCCAACACAACCAGGGACTGCCAGTATACCATCAATCCATCTGTTTACGTCAGGTTCTTACCTGAAACAGAGACTACTGTGGGTATCTCCTTGTCAGGGGTTAGGTATTTTGCCCCCGCCGGTTGTGTTGCACCCCTTGTACTTTTTTGGTAGAGGGAGTTTTTGGGGAGGTTCGTTGTACCCCGCGGGCGGACACCCGGGTTGAGTGTTTTGTGTGAAAAAAGACATGCTTAGGATGCAACTTTTGAGTAGCAACTTAGATTTGTTTACAGTCCATTAACCTCTGTACAATCTGTGACGTTATGACTCAAGTCAAGGCCCTTTGTGTCATTTCATTCGCTATGTGCATTTTAAAGGACTTGCGGCGTCACTCCAGGCGTTATCCACCACAACCAGGGACTGCCAGTAAACCATCAATCCATCTGTTTACATCAGGTTCTTACCTGAGCGGATGTGCTCCTCATGCTGTTTCCTTTAAAAAAATCCAGCCCCCGCTGCGCCAAAACCACCCGCGTCCAGAAAGAGATTGTCTTGCACCCCTGGTCAAAGACCAGGCTGCGCGGGTGCAGTTGAGCCGATGTGCTTATCATGCCCCCCTGAGAGAGGTGGTCTTGCGCCTCCAGTTAAAGAGTACTGCGCGGGCCCCCCCAAAACCCCCCCCTGAGGAAAGAGGGCTTGTGATGCTCCCCCAAAGCGCAGGCTGCGCAGGTTAGTGGAGCGGGTGTGCTTGTCGTGCCTTCCCCAAAGCCCCCCCCCCCCAGGCAAAAAACGAGACTGTCTTGTGAATCGTCGCAAGCGAGTCAGGTGATGTTTTGAGCAAAATGACGGGCAAGATGCATTTCATCACTTCACAAACTTCCGCTTCATGGCCACGTGGCGCGAAATCGTCGCAAGTGAGTCAGGTGCATGCGCAAAACCACAGCGCCAGCACATTTCTGAAAAGTGAATAGTCGCAAGCGGGTCAGGTTTTAGTCGCAAGTGAGAAATGAGGTTCAGTCGCAAGTGAGTAAATACGTGTGTCGCAAGTGAGTGCTTCCCCGACAACTTGTGTCCTGTTCATGCTTGATTTGATTCAATAACCAACGTTCTTGTTTAGCACAGGGTGGGGTCGCGTTTCGGACGATTTCGTGGATATCCCACGCCCAGGCTACGCTACGTGGGAAGTTCCCAAGGCTTGGGCCACGGCGTTGGGGCTTGCAGCGGGATTAACCTCTTTGTATTTGCGTTGCCCTCCGCAAAAGCTTCGCGATACAGGTCGCAAGGGTTTTTCTTTTCCAGGCAAGTTTTGTGCACGGGTGGTTTGCTCAAAGTTGTTCTTAGAGAGCAGCGCGCTACACTGACAGAGAAGGTCTTGCAAGACCTATCCGCAGCAGAAGTGCATCGAGGAGAGACCAAGGCGCGGCCTCGTGTGGCTGCCTGTGATCGGCGCTGGTAGCGCAGCTTAAGTTCTTGGCAACGAGGACGCAGAGCCCACAGCTCCCGTCCCGACTCATATGGCGCAGCTTGGACAGCGGCGCCGGGCGCTGGAAGGAATGTCAGGATGCGATGGGAGTGGTGCGAGAGTGCTACTGAAGGATGTGCGGTTTTGGCTCATTTTTTGTGTCAATTGCTGAAAAGAGAAGCGCAGAGAGGTTTGTCGCATAGATCAACTGACATAAATCGGGTGACCCGTCATGATTGACTTGTGCGTTTGGTCGCTCTTTATGATTCTTTTGCTGATGACGCAGTCGAGCTGAGAACAATTTGCTGACGCGTTCCACTTTCCAGAGACTCCGTGATTGGATGCCCGAAGCTGGAGTGGAGTTGCGGTTGTTGATCGAAGCTGTGGTGTTGGGGTGAATTGGGGTTGGGGTTCGTTGGGGCGAGTTGTGCGTTGGGGTGGGGTTGGGGTTGGGTTGGGAGAGGGCTAGAAGCTGAAGCGCGATGTCGGGTCGCCTGGACCAAGCCGCGCTCAGGTCCACGCACCAAAAATATAACTGAGCGAGGTGTGGCTTCGCACCTGAAAACGAAGGTGATTGGCGACAAGGGCAAGCGTTGCCTGATTTCAACATCTTAAATTTAGACATTGCTCCGAGGCGCCGGGCTTTCCAAGTCCTGGGCTGTTCAGGAGGCATGTGGTCTTCTGGATCAAGGTGGCTATGCAGATGCAGAAGAAGGTTCTCATCTACAACCAGCGCGTTGTGAACGAGCGCCGGGGTGTGTGGGAGAAGTCGCAGTGTGGCTTGTGAGCCCACGCAAAAACCAAAGGCAGCAAAGAAACAGACGGTCGCAGAGGGTGAATCTTCCAAGAAGTCATTGCAAATTCTGGAAATCAGAGGAGCTGACATCACTCCCGGAACCTATGTCCTGGACTGGGAATCCGGGGGGTAGCCTGCAGAGATTGACACAGACATTGACAAACTGCGGCGCGATCCAGTTAGACAGGACCTCTTCTTCAACACACACCTCCTTGAAGCGTGCCCGATGTCCAACGGACAGCTTCGACAATCTGAGGAGGATCAGGACGAGTTCTTGGAGCACGGGCTTACTGTGACCCTGGCAGCGCCATGGTATGAAGAGGAATGGCGGAAGATGGTCAAGAACCGTCGCAAGGGTTAGACAACACTCAACCCAGGGCAACACCTAACAATACTAACAATGTCCGAGATAAAGGAGATGGAAGTGCAGGAGCGGATCGCGACGGAAAGATCGGCCATGCGTAGTGATGCGGATGCGATGGGTCATGACTTTCAAGCGACCAACACCAGCCCAAGGTGAAGGCGGAGGGCCAGAGTTCTGGTTGAGTATTCCGCAACAACAAAGCACGCAAGGCAGCTGATGTTAGCCTGATGCCGAGGAAACTTTTCCACAAGGCAAGCCGGTGGCAGAACCCTAGTGCACTTCTGAAGCCCTGTTGTGAACTGAACTGAGTTGGTTCCGCTGCAAAGTAAGTGATTGTCATCCGTAACCTTTTGACATGCCTTGCGCATGCCGACATGTTGATCCCTTTGCAGCGCTGGACTTTCCGAAGTGCCCCAGACTTGGATGTAGAAACTCGAAGGGCAAATCCGGACCATGAAAACCAAGCATCGTGAGGAATCCTCGGATGATCAAGCTTAGGTGCCATTCAACCCGTACAGCCACCACAATAGAGCTACTGCTTCAAGCGGTTTACCAACTTCGGGTTCCCACTTTTCAAGGCAAGCCAGCTGTTCTCACCTTAGCCAAGTTCGCGATCTCATTGCCAGGCTCTTTTGACCAGCCCGGAACTTCTTCAACAACAGCTCCAGCTTCTTGGCAGCATGCGGGTTGTTTGTTTTTTGAACCGGCGGGTATCAAAAGATGAAGTTCCTGAAGCTGCCACATGGGCACTCACCTAGAGCGTATGGCAGCATGATCGTTTATAGGTTCATTTGCAAAGCAACTCTTCACAAGACAGTTGGCCAACTGGCGGATGATAGTACCCATGGCTCGTGACCGATGATCTAGAAGAATCACTGGAGAGGACTAGGAAGCATCGGCTTGGGATGTGCGTGGGCTTTGTCCCGCTCTCCACCCCCTGCCAAAATCCTCCCTTTCGGCAAATCCCAATCGTTTATTCCCCGGGTAAACGCAACGGCCAGCTTAAGATACATTTTAATCCTGCGCGCGGACAGCGGTGCTATGTTCCGTCGAACGCAGCAAAGTACCCGGGACCTGCAACGGGGTCTTTGTGTTGAGGAACAACACCCAAAGAGAATCTTTTAATCCGCTTCAGAGCCTCCTGGGTGTGATCCGGTGTGGCCGATTCGCCGCAAAAACTCGACAAGCGTCGGTGCTTCCCCAGTTTGCGCCTTTCCCACGGCGTCATGCAGCACATGCGGTCCATGCCTCTTGGGGCTGTTCAAAGTTCAACTTAGGTTGATTTCCCAAAAGTCAATCATGTTTTCATGAGGTCAGCTTTTAGAACGCCAAGCCATGGTTTCGATCTGCTGGCTTCTACCAGCCCGTTTTGAGTGATGTGGCAGGGAAGCCCGTTTGAGGGATGTGTTTCAAGAATAGGGCGGGGAACCCCCGCATCCAGTTGGAGGGCAAATTATAGCGGCCTGAGGGATTTGTGACCTCACCGACAAAGATGCCTATGATAGGAACCTCTTAGGATCCTGAATTTTGTTTCAGCAAGTGATTTCGGGGAAAGTAGAAAATGACTCAAGGAAGCGAAATGGCATGCACCAAAACTGTTCGATTCCACAACGAGCGATCTTTTTCGCCGGATTTTTTGCGGTTCGCAGTCAGCACAAGCCGGGGGAATCATTCGCACTCGTTTGGTGCTTCTTTCCAGGCTGCGCATTCGATCTATCCCAGTTCCCAACAGCAGCCCACGCTACCAGCAGTTCAAGGAGTCCATGCCTCGGTCAGGTTTTCCCACGGCCGTTAAGGAAGGTCAAAGGAACAAAAGCTTCCATTAGAGATGTGTCTTGTTTTGACCTTGCTTTTTCTTGGACAAAACAGCAAACTCGTAAAAGGGGACTCTCGGATTCGCTGGCAACTGGCCAAACTTTTGTTGGCAAGACTTTTTGCAGACCAAAGAACTAAGTTGTGCATACCCCTGTTGGGGGTTGTTTGAAAGGAAATCCACAGACAGAACCAACCAATGGGGGGGTAGAGAGAGAGATGCGAAGGTGAAAGACTTCCGGCTTCTGGACCCCCTTCATTCCGGCAGCCTGCCACTGATGGGCTCAACTCAGGGGCTACTTGCATGAGTGATACGAACCCTGAAGGTGTCCGTCTTGTTGCGGGTCTCCGTTTCGCTACTGGCTCTACCTCAGGTGGTCTTCCTTACTCTTCTGAGATCCGTCACGGGCCTGACTGGGAACGGAACAACAGGGACGACGAGATGCTCTCTCTCACTCCGTTTTTGTCATCCTCCGAGCTGCTGGGCTCCTCACCCCCACTCGGGTCGGTTGTGCCTCGGATTTGACAAATGGTCATTGGCGAGCGGATTCTAGTGTGGGCATCCCTGTCCTATCCCGGCCGGGGGGTATCAGTGGCGGTCCCTGCAGGACGAGCTTCAGAGGGCGATCTAACTCTTTCCGCCAAGAATTCCGGCGCTGTTTATGTCTGTCACCGTCTCCGTTTATGTCTGCATCTCACAAGGGGCCCTGCAACTCATACGAGTTTTGCGACGTTTTGTCTGCGGCTTTCCTCAAAGCCATGCACGCTTTCAAGGCGATGTCGGTGGCCTTCAGATGCTCGAGGCTTCGGTCCTTCCGTGCCATCCTCGAGCTGTCCCGAAAAGGCAAGACGCGTCTCGTCAACCCATTCGGCCCTGTCCCCAAAGGCCGTTCGTGTTCTCATGGCCTGACCCCTTTACCCTCTCTTCCCTTTCGCGCCTTTCAAGAGACGGGCGGCTGAGGCTTGTCACTCTCCTCGGTCGACCAGACTCTTGATTTTCCCGGTGAGGGCCCTTTGAGCTTCTCCTTGCTTCTCTGCCTCTCACGCCGCTCCTTGTGGCCGAGGAATAAGCGGGCTTCTTTTCAAATGCTGTGCTGATTAGGTATGGTCGCCTTTTGTACGACGCAGGGCGGCCCTATTCTCACTACGCTGAGACCATGAATGCTGTTGGGGCCGCAAGGCCCAGATTGCGAAGGGTCTTGCAACAAGCTTGGGATCAGCTTTTGCGTGGCGGAGGGCCCCCAGAACCCCCTTCATTCAGCAATGCCTTGGTTGCTTGTCTAGGCGCTGTTGGGGATGGCCTCTGGTTGCGGGAGGTTTGACATGGGGAGGAGTTTTGCGTGTAGGTGAGTTCTTCGAGGCCTCAAGGTCGCATGTCCTCCTGCCCTCGGACGTTGGGAACACAGTTGATGCGCTGCTTTCAAGATACGAGCCGAAGAAAAGGTACAAGGGTGCCCGCCACCAAGCAGCCAAGGTTGACCATCCTCAGCTTTTGCAGGTCATCATCCTTGCATTTCAGAAGTTGCCGAAGCGGTCTAGGTTGTTACCTCAGGTCTTTTGTCGCAGATTTGCGACAATCCTTAGCAGGGCAACCTGACTTTGTTTTGCAGACCTCTGAAGATGCTTCTTTGGTGCAGCAGAGGAGGCGATGGATTACACAGAAGGTCATGGAGATACACATCCAGGAGGTCAGTGCCAAAACGACAGATTGTGCAGTTGCTGTGTCTCGCAGGTGCCTTGAGAATCGCCCCCTCCATGCGGTTCTCACTTTTTGCGCACAGCATGTGAGACTCCTGCATTTTACACCAAGCCCCTTCTTGCTGGACCTCCACACCGCGGCGCTTGCGCGAAAGGCTTGGGTAGATATTTTCTTTCCGTTTTTCTGGGGTGGAAGCGAGGTGTGATGAGTTTTGGGCCAGATGCGCCTGGAGGTTCACCTCATAAGGGCACCTGGCTTTGTGCCACTTCCGTGGATTTTAGAGGTGTCTACGACACTTGACCTGACACCTAGGGAAAAGGGCCTGACCGCATGAACCCTTGCTTATTTTGCGGCAATTGCTGGTGGTGCTTGATTGGCGATGCAGGCAGTGCTGGTGAGGGTGCTGTTGTGGGTGCTTGTCAGCGTGCTCAAGGTGCTGTGCTTGTTTTGCAACGCCCTCTGGGTCCTGTTGCGTGCTGGTCAGGGTCCTGTTGTGTGTTACCGGGCAAGCGTGTTTTGGGGTGCTCAAGGTCTTGCGGCAGTTTGTGGCAGCTTCCGTTTGGCAACAGTGAGGGTGCTTTTCGGGGTGTTTGTCAGGGTGATTGCGGCATGTGGTGGCTGGTGGTTGGGCTATTGTCATGATGCTGCTTGAATCATCATATCATCGTGGAACTATTAGGGCGCCATTTGTGCTGCTTTGCGGCACATATTTATGGCGTGTGACGCATAATGGTTCGTGGCTGTGGTATTATCATGATGCTTTTGGAGTCCGCATGGTGCAGTGAAAATCAGTGTGATGTTGTGTGTGCAATTGCGGTGTTTTGTGATTTGTGGCCGCGGTGGCATCCCGACACCGCCGGAAACACCAAGATGTTGCAAGTTGAAACCATTATGACAAAGGCTGTCCTCACGGCAACATTATGATGCGTCTGGAATCACGATGTTTTGGCTGTCATTCTGGTGTTTCGAATCTGTGATTCTGGCGTTGTTTGTGGCGTTGTTTGGCATACGACGGTTCGTGGCTGTAGTATTCATGATGCTGGCGGAATTGCTTGCTTGCAGACAAATGAGCCATTCCGGTCAAATTCATCATGCTATCTGGGGTCTATGCAGGTGAAATTTTGATTGAGCCAAGCGCGTTGTGTCTCAGTAGTTTGGTTCGGCATAACACTTTTTGTTATTTCATAGGGCCTTATTTTCCCAGGCCCGTGTTGATGGCGCATGTGTTTGTGGCACTCTTCCCTCTCTGTCCTCGGGGCGATGCGTCAGCGACAAACAAAGCTTCTGCTGGTGCGTACTCAAGAAATGAACTTGCAAGGACTAAGCTGTCAGGGAAAAGCATTTTGAAGAAAATAAACAGTTTGAGCAAGCATGGCAAGTGGATGTGTGCTAATTGTTTGTTTGGCTTGATGGGTTTGGGTTTCTGCGATCTTGAGGTATTACACTCGTGAACACGACGCGCAACTCCAGGAATACAAGGCTCGAGAGCAGGTTGAATGATGTGTTTGTTGATAAGCCCTAGCATGTTCAGCAAATCCAGTAAAATGGCTAGATGCCCATACTGATGGCCCATGCAACTGTACTAAGGATTGAGTGTAACCAGCGCTGGATTATGTTTTTAGATAGCCTTTGCTACACTGATGACGCAGGATTCCTGATAGAGAGTGTTAGGAACGCATCCTTTTGTTAGGAAGAGTTTCAGGCGAGTGGCTAAGGAAGGCCAAGCATCGTTTTGACAGCCATGCCAGCCCTTGCATCTCAGCCCTTGCATCCCAGCCCTTGCATCCCAAAGCGGTGGTTCTGTTTGTCAAGGATCTAAATGCATGCGATGCCTTTGATGCCTTTGATGCCTTTCGTTTGCGATCTTTTGTGTTTGGGCAAGCCGCACCCATTCGGAGGTCCAGCTCTTATTTCAGCTTGGCGAATCATCCGGTCTATGAGAAGCACTGTTAATTCTTTTCCATGGCATTTGGGTAGACTCCTTCAATACTGTGTTTGGATAAATGTCAGCTTCGAAGCAATCTGGAGGGCTAAATTGATCAGATTCCAATTTTGGTTGGGAGATGGTCGGGATTTCCTATGATGAGTACGGTGCTTTGGAGTCCCAACTTGAACACTGAAGCATCCCAGAAAAGGAACCTTCATGGAGGGCCGCTGTTTTTTGCTCAAGATCTAGTGCCAACTACCGCCTCTTTGGTTCGACGTAAAACCGTACTTTTTTTTAGTAGCATGGGCACCACTTTGCCAACACGATCTCTTTGGTTCTTTCTGCCAGGCCCAGGTACAGCGTCACGGCTTCAACTGGCAGGCGCTGTTGCACGGCCTTGGCGCCCGGGGACCCGACGAGTCTCGCAAGCCGAGGGCTGATCCATCGGAACGTGAATGTCTGCCTGACCCATTTTCCGTGGAAGAAAATATGAATAGAATGGGGGGGGGCAGACCACCCCGCTGCTCCGAAAGGTTGGGGATGTACCTCCCCTTCCTTTTTCTGCAACACCCAGGACCCCCCTCAGGAAGCCTTAAAGCCTCACAGCTCCAGTTGAGGCCTCAGGGGTTCTGTCGGAAATCTGTGACGTTTAGCGACACCCCTGAGGCAAGCCTTCGATTGAATCCCAAAGCCTCTCCTTTCAAAACGGAGGCCGGGGCCATGCTGCTGGCTGCCAGCCTGGCGGTGCTCGAATACCGCTGCGGTGCTGCTGGCCGAGTTTAGGTCAGGTCTCCCAAAGCTCGTCCTTTGGTTTTCAAAGCATTTCTCAAAAGAAGAGAAGGAACATAGGGTGGAATAGGGGAACCAAAGAGTGGAACCCTGATGTTTGGCGGAACCCTGTTACACTGTTCTGCTCTGGTCCAGGGGAGTTGAAGGCTCGTATTTGCATTCTTCAAAGACTGGACGTTGTGCAGGTCGCGGTTTTCAAGAATAATTCTTCCGTTGCGACATGAATTTGGAGCGAGGCGCAACAGACAGGAAGAATGGAAAGCCTCAAGCCCACTGGCAAGCAATATCCATAGTGAATGGCTGCTTCAGTAACGGTGAAACGAGGCGCGGTATACTTGGCAACAGCAGCGTCAGACAGGTGGCCGAATTCCCTTCGAATTCCCATGTGGAAAGGGATGTTCAAGCACTGTTGCCACTTCTGGACGAAAGTCTCCTTGAAAAATCAGGGGTTCGTGTTGCAGCCCCTAGCATGCTTGGGTCCTGTCTTGCCATCAAGGGCCCAGCGTGGCTATGGGGCGTGTGATAGGGTGAAGTATTGTCGCACAGGTGTTGGGTGTTGTGTGACCATTTGACTGACGGGTGTTGGGCCAATGGGCCAATGGAGGGAGGGCATCAATCTTTCAAGAGACGTCTTCAAAATTGCACAAACGGCTTGTGAAGGCATGGGACAGTGCGCAGACGAGCGCCTAAACACGGGAGGCATGATGGATAGGATGTTGGAACACAGGCGCACCTGCTGGCCGGGTCATCCTGTTCCAAGCCGTGCAAAACGCAGGGCTTTGTCAGCCAGCAATCGCAGTGATGAAACACAGCATGTTGGCTGCGCTTGTCGATAGTCTTGGACGTCCAGGTTATTATTCAACAGTCCGCCCCAATTTGCAACAAGCTCAACCAGGGCCAAAGCGAGCGGCCGCCTATGATGAAAGGCCAGTAGTGAGGACCATCGCTTGATTCAGTATGATGACGCAAACAAAACAATAATTTTATGGCTCGATTCTTGATGCAGGGGATGCAGGCAATGCAGGGGATGCGACGCAGGGGATGCAGGGGATGCGGATGCAGGGCATGCAAGGGGATACAGGGGATGCAGGGGATGCGGGGGATGCAGGGGCTTTGCAGGGCTTTTGCAGGGGCTTTGCAGGGGCGGGGCTTTGAAGGGGCGGGGCTTTGCAGGGGCTTTGCAGGGGCTTTGCAGGAACTTTGTTTGCAGGGGCTTTGCAGGGGCTTGGGAACGGGACGCAACGGGACGCAACGGGACGTAACGGGATGCAGGGGATGCAGGGGATGCAGGGGATGCAGGGGGATGCAGGGGATGCAGGGGGGATGCAGGGGATGCAGGGGGGATGCAGGGCAGAGATGCAGGGGGGATGCAGGGGGGATGCAGGGGGGATGCAGGGGGGATGCAGGGGGATGCAGGGGGGATGCAGGGGGGATGCAGGGGGGATGCAGGGGGGATGCAGGGGGGATGCAGGGGGGATGCAGGGGGGATGCAGGGGGGATGCAGGGGGGATGCAGGGGGGATGCAGGGGATGCAGGGGGGATGCGGGGGGGATGCAGGGGGGATGCAGGGGGGATGGGGGGGATGCGGGGGATGCATGGGGGGGATGCAGGGGGGATGCAGGGGGGATGCAGGGGGGATGCAGGGGGGATGCAGGGGGGATGGGGGATGCAGGGGGGATGGGGGGGATGCAGGGGGGATGCAGGGGGGATGCAGGGGGGATGCAGGGGGGATGCAGGGGGGATGCAGGGGGGATGCAGGGGGGATGCAGGGGGGATGCAGGGGGGATGCAGGGGGGATGCAGGGGGGATGCAGGGGGGATGCAGGGGGGATGCAGGAAAAGATGCAGCAAGGGGATTCAGGGGATGCAGGGGATGCAGGGGATGACGGGGATGCAGGGGATGCAGGTGGGGGAATGCAGGGAAGCAAGGGGATTCAGGGGATGCAGGGGATGCAGGGGATGCAGGGGATGCAGGGGATGCAGGGGATGCAGGGGATGCAGGGGATGCAGGGGATGCAGGGGATGCAGGGGATGCAGGGGATGCAGGGGATGCAGGGGATGCACCAGGGGACGCAGGTGAAGACGCAGGTGATGCAGGTGACGCAGGTGCTGGTAATGCAGGTGATGCACCCTGCGTCCCAGCATTTCCTGAACAATGCTTGTGATGCTGGAGATGCTGGCTGGTGATGCCAATGCTGGCTGGTGGTCGTCATTGCCGAGCCGCTTTCCTTTCCCATGCGGCTGCGAGTCCTGGGGTCCACCTGAAGAACGATTCCTAGGTGTGCAAATGTGCATTTCAACAAACAGACCCATGAACATGGTTGTTTCTTGGCGGTGTCGCCCAATATGGTATACCATCCACGTGCAGCCAGGTTTGCTCTCCTACTGGATGGAGGCATCGGTCGCGTCTATCTCTAGATGTCTTGCCAACCTCTTGCCCTCTTCCACAGACCGAGAGATTGTTGAAGCGTGAGCAGTGTTTGCCGAAACCTGGCGAGCATTGCGAAGCGTGTGCGCGAGGTTGATTCGCATGAAAATTTCTGTTCGATGCTCGCACGAACGTGTTCTAATTTGGAGCCCCTTGCAGGCCGCAGAGATTTGGTGGTCTTCCGCCCAGCAGCACTTGGCGCAACAACGGCAGAAGTGGAAGGAGGCGGCGGATCATCGGAAGGTGGAGCGCCTCATTCAGGAGCCCGGGGGCCGCATGAGCGAGAGGGTCGACTCGATCATTTATAGGCGAAAATCAGAATTTCAGTTTTGCATGTCCTTGAAATTATCATTGACGTCATTCATGGATCTAATTGTTTTTACGATTTTATGCATGTGTATCCAGGGGTATGTTGCTAAGCCTGCATTGACAATCCTTTTCGGTGCTGGCTTTTCTGATCCGCTGCGCCCACAGGGCACATTTCTGGAAGAGAACGCGGGGAAAGCCGATGAACATGATAAAGTGGTGCTGCCCTGGGTATCAAGGCTAGTTTCCAGAGAGTCTGTTGCCTCAGCCAGTTGCGACAGTGTGGGATGCTGTGCTGGCCACGGAAAGTTTCGGGAGATAACCGCCAATTGGAGAGACATCGGACCCTCCCAAAGTTCGATCGAACCCTTGCAAAGCCAGCCGATTGCCTTTGAGCCGCCAGGTGTGTCACCGCAGAGACATGTTGGCAGCGCTTGTACCGCAGCCAGGAAATTGGTGAAGGCGAAGACTGTACAGGCTGGACAGATTGCTGCAGCGTCGCCTCTCACCAGAGAAGAATAGAATCATTGCACAGCCTGATGCGGACACTTAGCAGCTTTGCTGTTGGAGCAATATTCCTATTGATCGTCGAGGAGTCGGTGGATCTTGCAGTTTCCCTGCAACGCCCGTGGCATGTTTGATTGCAGGCGCGCAAGGTGCTTTTAGAGGGTTTTCACACACGACTCAGAATGTGAGGTCAATCCCCTTTGTGGGCCTTTCGATCTCCTTGTTATCACCTATCAGTTACATGTATTGTGTAAAAAGTGCAGTTGTCTTTAATTCCGTGGTGAATTGTTTGCGTGTCGATGCCTCCCCCGCAAGCCATACAAAGATTGCGTGTAGACGAACTTCGAACATCTCTTCAGTG